GCGTTCGGTACGCAAGTATATGGCTCGTGCTGTCACGCGCGCAGGCGCCAACAGGGGGAGGCATCGAACATGCGACAATCTATTCCTCACAGGTAAGAGTACTGCCAAAAAGGGGCACCGAACAGGTCTGGGACGCGTGCGTTTGGAGCGCGTGTTCAGGGCTGCAAGCCCCAGAGCGGGCATCGAACACGCTACTGCGACGTGCAACATGAAAGCGATGAAGGGGATCCGACGTACGTGCGGCTTGTGTTTTCAAATACCGGCTGTCCTCCCATGCATTTGGTCCGTCGTTTCCCTGTACGGGCTCCAGCTTAGTGTTCTCCTTTAGTGGTCAGGCACCTGGCACTAGACCAGTGGCCTGTAAAGCAGGTGGGGGCGTCTGCATGTGGGTGGAGAGAAGGCAAACAACATGCGTTTGGCACGCGTGCATACTGCTCATGCGTGGGAAAGACGAGGCGGAGGAAAGGGATGGATACGGAGGGAGAGGCATGGGGACGGAAGGGAGGAGAAGACGGAAAAAGGGTTCCAAGAGGAGGAGGAGGAGGAGGAGGAGGAGGAGGAGGAGGAGGAGGAGGAGGAGGAGGAGGAGGAGGAGGAGGAGGAGGGGGGGAAAGGAATACAGAGGAAGAGGCATGGGAACAAAGGAGGAGGAAGCCCCGAAAACTGCTCTGGGATCCCCCGGGCCGAGAGTGGGCACTGGTGGGAGGGGGGGGGGGGGGAACGTGCCGCCCCTGGGCCCGGGGGCCCGGTCGCCCGTCACATTCCACAAGTGCTTCTGTTGGGTGGACGCCTGCCATCTCGAAAATATCTTCATGCCCTCTCAGGGCCGATTGGAGCCCTTTGAAAGCGCCCACTGAAGCCTCCCAGTGGCATGAGCCTCCCAAGACTGACCCGAAGACCAGAGGAGAGCCCAGCGTATGGCGGCACTCTTGGAGCGCCCTTGAGCCCTTTGGGCAATTTTGCAAGGTTCTGCCAGTGCTGGGCGAGCACGGGACGAAGCCCTCTTCCAGCTATCTGGAAGCGGAGAAACAATAAGACGCTGCAGAACCCCATCGCCTTTTAACGAACTTCGTCCGAGTAGGGTTCATCCCCTTGCAGCCCACCAGTGACCGCTTGGGAGCGATTTGGGGGAATCACGGGCCTCTTGGAGTCTCTTGGACTCGTCTTGCAATTATCTGGGGGCATCCTGGTGGGCCTGTCTCAGGAGGCCAAACCATGGCCGTGGAAAGAGAAGGGACCAGGTAGGCTCCCTGCGATTACAGGACGTCTGGAAAGGGAGAGAGAAGGGGCGAGGCACGCCTCCGCCTTGTGGCGGTCCAGGCTTGTCTTCTGGGCCTTTCCGAACTTGCTGACTTGCTGGGACGTTTACGTAAGGATATCGCATACCTGGAAGCCGCTCTGGGAACAATGTCTGGGATGTGGGCGCGAGGCCTCCTCGAGGATTCCGTCGGGTCTCTCGGGTGGCTTCGCGGGGCCTCTGGGAGCCTCTTAGGTCATCTTGGGAGCGTCCAGGGTGCCTCTGGAAATCCTGTTTGGAGCTGGCTGGTGGTCCTGGCATCTTGGGCCCCGACTCTTGGGTCCCTCTTGGGTGCGTGTTGGGCGATATGTGGGGCATCCTGGGTCGTCTTGGAGCCTTCATGTTGAGGCTCTCTTGGGGGGCCTCTTGGGGAGCCTCTTGGGCCGCCTTGGGGCGATCTTGGGTGCCTCGTGGGCCGCCTTGGACGGTCGGAAGGACACAAACACAGAACGCAAAAACCAACCAACCAAGCACAAACCATCGAATTCGGCCTCTTGGCGCCCTCGCGGGGGTCCTCTTAGGGTCTGAGAAGCCTCTAGAACTGTTTGGGGGGGAAAGTTCGTTATGTCGTGAGCACGACTTGGCGGTCTCGGGGTCCTCTTGGCGCCGTCTTGAGGCCCTCAACGGCCTCTGCGAGCCCCCAAAAGGACGGAAAACTGGCCCAGACCCAAGGGGGAAATCGGTTACCAAGGGGGAGGACCGATTTGTCAACGTGCGCTGGGGGGCATCACTCGAACGCTAAGTAGATGTGTGTCAATTGACACACAGATACATACACATACACATACATATGCACATACACAGACACCTACATGTACACATACACATAGCACACACACACACACACACACGCTTGCGTCGGCGGCTAGGCAGAGTGACTGCGCTGGCAGTGAAGCGTTGGAAGATGAACGAGCGCGAATTCGGCCACCATGCAGAAGGGGGGAGGGAGGAGGCGCCCGGCGACGGCGGGAGGGAGGAGGAAGCCAGGCCCACTCAGAGCGGAGCCAGGCGGCGACGGGGGGGGCGCCAGGGGAGGGGGCCCAGCGCCAGCGACGCGGCGGCTGGAAGGGAGGGAGCCAGCAAGGCAGGCTGCTGGCGGCAGGACGCCCTGAGGGGAACAGTGCCCAGCGGAGGCTGGTGACGAAGGCGCGCAAGAGTGCCAGTGAGCCGAGGGTGCCTAAGTCACACGTGACCTGCGAAGGCGACCTGGGGGCGGCGGCCAGTGCGGGACCACCTCCAGCAGAGGCTTCGGTCTAAAAATCAGGCAAGGCGGGGGGAGGCGAAGTGGGGCACGGGCGGCGAGGCCAGCCCAGCCCCAAGGCAGGCGGGGCGCGGCAGGAGGCAAGAACCGAGGGGGGGCACCAAACTGGTGCACTTCAGGTGGGCGGAGAGCCCACAGCGAGGAGCCGGGCGGAGGGCTCAGAAGAGCAGCCCACTCAGCAATCGAGACCAGCGTGCCCAAGCTGGGGCACATCAAGGTGAAAGGCGCCAGGCGACCCCGAGCTGGGGGCGGCGGAGCGCGGGACTCGGGGGGCGAGGCGCGAGAGCAGCCCCAAGCCAAAACATCTGCACTGTGGCCCGCGGCACCCGAGGCGGGTGGCAGCAGAGGCGGAAAGGGAAAGAGCACCGTCCCGGATGGGAAGGTGGTGCACACACACACACATATACATACATACATACATACATACATGCATGCATGCATGCATGCATGCATACATACATACATACATACAGACATACAGACAGACAGACAGACAGACAGACAGACAGACAGACAGACAGACAGACAGACAGACATACATACATGCATGCATGCATGCATGCATACATACATGCATGCATGCATGCATGCATGCATACATGCATATATGCATACATGTATACATGCATCCATGCATACATGCATACATGCATACATACATGAAAACATACATACATACAATCATACACATATGCATACATGCATACATACACACATACATACATGCATACATATATGCATACATACATACATACATGCACACATGAATACGTACATACACACATACATGCATGCATGCATGCATATATATATATATATATGCATACATACATACATACATATACATATACATGCATAAACATATATAGACATACATACATACATATACATATACGTACATACATACGTATATTTATGCAAACATACATATATACATATGGCATATATACATACATGCATGCATACATGCATACATGCATGCTGCATACATACATACATACATATATACATACATGGCGACCGATCTGCATCCCTACATCTATGATTACCGACCTAAGCATACCCAGTCAGGCATGTGTTAGTCAGCGTGGGCCCGAGATGCAATATGTGCGGCGTAAGCTATGTGATGAATCCCATGCCGTCTGCTATATGTGGTGTGAGCTGTGGAGGTGGAAGCTGTGCGGCGCAAGCTCTGTGATGCAGGCCGCGTGGCGTCGGCAATGCGGTGCAGGCTGCGTGGCGAATGCTACGCCGTGTAGGCTCACGAGGCGCCCTCGAGGCGGCGAGGGCGGCTGCGTGGCGCAGGCCCAGCATACCCCACGAGCGCGGGGGTCGGCCACGAGGCACCCGTGGGGCGGCATGGGCGACGACGCGGCGCAGACCCGACACGCCCCACGAGCACCGGGAGCGCCCACGAGGCGCCTCCCGAGGCGGCACGGGCGACCACGTGGCCCCTTCAAACCCAGCGGTGGCCCCCCGAGCGCGGGGCGCCAGCGAGGCGCCCCCCGAGGCGGCGCGGGCGACTCCGCGCACAACCCACCAAGCGCGGGGCGCCCGCTCGGCGCCCACGAGGCGGCGCGGGCCGCAGCGTGGCGAGAGCCCATGCCAACCCAAATTTCTGAACAGGCCGACGTGAGAGGCCTGGGTGCAAGCACTATGGCGGGGGACACGTACACGTATACTGTTGATCGCAAGCGATACGGAGGTGCCGCACGCCGTCAGAGTCATAGCACGCTAGCTACGGCCTAAATTGCGCAATATAGAGGGGAAGAGGAGAGACACATGTACACGTATACACGCGGAAGCATAAATCTAGATGTGCTCGAGATGAAAGGCGCTGGCTGGACACAGTCGGGGAGAGAGGAGAGAGACACTCATGATGTGCAGTTGAATAGAGGAAAACAAGCAGGAGGAGGAGAAGGAGCAGGAGGAGGAGGAAAAGGAAAAGTACAGAATGAACAGGAGGAGGGATAAGGAGGAAGAGGAGGAAGAGGAGGAGCAGAAAGAGGAATACGAGGTGGGAGTAGGAGGAGTTGGGAGGTCCCTGCAGGCGTGAGGGGAGGCCTCTGGAGGTATCGGTTGACTCATAAATGCTCTGTGCATTTCGTGATCTTTCCTGGTGGCGCTTTTCGTGCACGATCAAGGTTCTTTGCTGACGGGCTCCTCAAGAATTTTGAGGGTCTCGGAGTTCGGGGGGCGAGGGCCTCCAGGCTTTCGGGGAGAGAGGAGGAGGAGGAGGAGGAGGAGGAGGAGGAGGAGGAGGAGGAGGAGGAGGAGGAGGAGAAGGAGAAGGAGGAGGCACAGCGTTGGATAGGAGGAGAAGGAGGAGGAGGAGAAGGAGGAGCAGCAGCAGCAGCAGCAGCAGCAGAAGGGGGAGTAGCGACAGAAGCGGGAACCGCAGGAGGGAAGGTGAGCAGCAGCAGCAGCAGCAGCAGCAGCAGCAGCGGCAGAGGGAGCTGGAGTGAGCGAGGAGGAGGCGTCGGAGACGGAGGCCCGCGGGCCACACCGCGAGCCTGGCCCAGGCCATGGGGCACGCTGGCGTGGCTGGGGCCACGCGGGCCGGCAAGAGGGGGGGCACGGAGATGAGACTGCGAGAGCGGTGCTCCGGGGTGCCGTCGGCCACGGCATGGGGGGTCACTCCGTCTCGCAGTCCGCCAGCAGGGAGGACAGCGCCTCCAGCGGGTCCTCCTCCTCCGCGCCCGCCCGCAGCGCAGCCACCTCCTGCAGCAGCGAGGCGAAGTCCAGCACGCCGATCTCGGCCCTGTCCTGCTCCAGGTCGCTGCCCTCGCGGTAGCCCTGGTGCCTCCACCGGGTCACCACGGCGTCCACGTCGTGTGCACTGAGGCCCCCCGCCTGCAGGGCCCCCGCCAGCGCCCGCCTCACGCCGTAGGTCGTGAAGGCCTTCTTGGCTCCGCCGGCGAGCTGGTACAGGCTGGCGATCGACTGCATCGTGTCCTCCAGGCCCTCCGAGGGGGCGAAGCGGCCAAAGTCCAGCTCCACGTAGCTCTCCGGCACCGAGCCTCCCAGCGCGAGCTCCAGCGCCCCGCCGAGCGCAGCCTTCTTGACGTGCAGGTCGACCAGGCTCGGCAGGTGCACGTGCTCCTCGCCGTCCATGTCACGGCAGGCACAGCGCCGCATGCCCTCGGGCGCCTCCGCCATCCTCACGGGCTCCTCGACGTCCATCGACGGCCGCCCGTTGACCTCGAGCAGCCACGGCTGCAGGCTGTCGTCCAGGAGCACGTCCACGCCGAGGACCTGGAAGCACTGGGGCCTGAAGCCCTCCTCGCTGTCCTGGTCGGGGCCCCAAAGCCGTGTGGTGACGGACAGCGTGGAGACCTCGGAGTCCCCAACGACCGCACCGCGCGGTCCGTGACCGCACGGTCTGGGGGCCTCGGAGGCCCCAGCCGCCCGAGGCGCCCTCGGAGAACGACCCGAGCCCCAGAGCCGTGCGGAGGCCCCGAATCCCCACGGACTCAGCACGCCGTGTGGTCACCGCACCGCTGGTGGCCCCCGATCCTCGCCGCTCTCGCTCTCCTCGTCCTCGTCGCTCCCCGAGTCTGAGCGGGCCGCCCGGTGCGCCCCTGGCTTCCTGGCCGCCGGCGCCCGAGCACGGCGCTTAGGCGCCAGCTCCTTCGCGACACGCTCGTAGGTGACGTTGAGCACGGGGGCAACGGCCTGCAGGAGCACGGAGACCACTTCCTCGAAGGCTCTGAGGAGCTTCGCCTCGTCGAACACGCGCCCCTGCGCGGCCTCCTGGCATGCGATCTGCCGCAAGAGAGTGGACAGCGGGCGCTTGCTGGCCTCGGAGTGCACGTCGAAGGGGTCGTTGGACTTCACAAAGGTGGCGGACTTCTTGTTCACGGAAAAATTTGTGAGGTGCATGTAATGCTGGTTGACATTGGCCTGCGTGGGGCTCTCATACTTGGAAGTGCAGAACCGCGCAAGCCCCTCTTTGCAGAGGTATGCTTGAAGTGGGTCCGTCGAAAGGACCACTACGTAGAGCCTCAGGTCAAACTTAAGCCCTCCGATCAGCAGTGGCCTCGGCAGATAGCGCTGGGCCAGGGCGCCAAATCCGGCGCCCCACTGGGGCTTCGCCGACAGCTTCACCTCTAGGTCCGAGGCCGTCTGCGCTAGGAAAATGCCTTCTCCCAGCGACCCATCCGCGGGCTTGACGATCACGGTCTCGCCTTTACGCTTGCTCAGCCACTTGCTCAGGCGCTCTCTCTCCGCAGGAAGAAGCCAGCTCTTCGGCCAGAAGGAGAACCTCTCAGGCCACAACTGCTGCAGAAATCGCAGCGCCAATGCCATGTTGACCTTGTCGCAAAGCTGACCCATCCCGGGCAGGCGATTGATCCGCGCGTCCGCCGGCAGTTGTCGGACCGTCTCCGCAGTGGCGCCGCACGGGTGGCCCAGCCTGCTCAGGAAGGCCCGAGAGTCCCAGACGAAGTACAGGTCGCACTGCTGGTCTTCCGAGCTCTCCACCTGCTCCCAGCGTGGCTTCACCAGCACAGCGTCCAGCAGCTTCTTCGGCGCCTTCCGCAAGACGGCGCTCGTATTCACCCGCCAGGGCTTCAGCTTCGCTGAGGCGGCGTCGCCGGCAGGCTCGGGCGCAGCCTGGGCGACCTGCCGCGTCGACCTGCGCTCCGCCAGGAAGCGCATCATCCACGCGTGCGGGTCTTCCGGCATCGCGCCAGCGATCCCCTCGAGCATTTCTTCGCACACGGCGCGCAGTCCGTGCCTGGCGAGGTACTCGGCGCCTGGGCCTCCCGGCCCGCCCCGCTCCTGAGGCACAACGTCATAGAAGGGGCCGGCTCGGGGGGGGGGGGGGGGGACAGCGAGCTGGAGTCGGCAATACGTCGCCGATGGATCGGCGACTTGCCCCCGATAGCACAACCGCACGCTCTGCTGGGTGGTCCTATCGGGCCCCCAGCGACGATGAATGGGCGACTGGGAGCCGATGCGTTCCCCCCTGAGCCGATCCCCTCGAACTACATCCCCAGGCCGAAAGTTTTTTCCTCGTGGACTTAGAATATCAAAACATCAATGGATCCAATTGGATCCCTTTTCGGGTGTGGGGGAGTTTCGTGGGTCCTATTTCTGTGCTGCGCGGATCCAATTTCCTGTGTGTGTGAAATACGATGGATCCATTTATTTCCCGGAAATATATGATAATTAACATCTGGGACCGAGGGGAAATGGGATCCGCGGGGCACCGCAAAGGAAGCATCATGCTATCCACGGAGCCGTGGATCTGCAGACCAATGCTATGATTCTACGGGGGAGGGGGCCGAGGGGGGCCTTCCCAGGATGAAGAGGGGAAGGATGAGGGCAGAGGCAAGATGAGGTGGGAGGAGAACAGAGGAGATCGGCGCGTCGCTTCCGACATGTGGGGCTCAAGAGGAAAATCGTTCGGCCTGCGTAAGTGGGATGTCGAACTGCGTTTCCCCCGCCAACACTTTGTGCTGTGGGATTTCGAACTGCGTCCCCACCGCCAACACTTTGTGCTAAACCTTTCAGTCGGATTTCGAACTGCGTCTCCCCCGCCAACACTTTGCGCTAAAACCTTTCATCCCCAGGCCGAAAGTTTTTCCTCTTGGACAGAAAATATGAGAACACCAATGGATCCAATTGGATCCCTTTTTCGATTGTGGGGGAGTTTCGTGGATCATATTTCTGTGTTGCGCGGATCCAATTTCCTGTGTGTGAAATACGTTGGATCCATTTATTTCCCGGAAATATATATAATAATTAGCATCCGGGACCGAGGGGAAATGGGATCCGCGGAGCATCATGCTATCCACGGAGCCGTGGATCTGCAGACCAATGCTGTGATTCTACGGGGGAGGGGGGTCTTCCCAGGATGAAGAGGGGAAGGATGAGGGCAGAGGCAAGAGGAGGTGGGAGGAGAACAGAGGGGATCGGCGCGTCGCTTCCGACATGTGGGGCTCAAGAGGAAAATCTTTCGGCCTGCGTAAGTAACGTCCCCCAGCGCTGGCATGAAGCAAACGGGTCCTGAGTGAAACGGGTCCTGGACGCCTGGGGCCTCGCCTCGGGTCCAGCCTGTCGCCCTGAGCCGACGTCGGACAGGCCTGGGGCCCGTGCAGGGCCCGAGGGGTCCGAAGACAGGCAAAAACCTGAGGACCCGCTTCCACCAGAAAAATGCATAAATACAACCTTTCGGTGCTTCGCGCTGATTTCTTGGATCGGCGCTGGACAAACCCTTGGCGCGCGGAGCGCGCAAGGGCGGGCGCTGGAGGAGCCGCTGAGAGGTCCCAGCGCCGATCCAAGAAATCCGCGCGGACATTCAGAGGCCTACAAGAATCGTGCTACCGTAAGACTGAGGAAGAGACGCGGGTGCTTTTCTGGACACGCACAGCGTCTACCACGGAGAGGCTCGGCGACCAAGAGATCTAAGGAATGGCTCAGAAACCAGGGCCCCTCCTGAGCAGAAGAGGCTCTCGCTTCAGCGTCTTGACCGTATGTTCATGCCGCTATCTTTGCCCGGCTTCCCCCAGGACCAGCCCTGACCTGGGCCGTGTTCCGACGGCCCGGAGGCCCGTGGAGGGCCCCGAACCCCCGAAGACCGATTCAAAAACCTCCCTCCCTCCCTCCCTCCCTCCCTCCCTCAGGACCCTCACGCAGCCATGTCCATATCAGGGGGGTGTAGTGGCCGAAACTTTGCCCGAAAATCGACCCAAGCGTGACCGACACTGGCGCCCGGATTTTGTTCGAACGCGCCTATAAATGAGACCGAAATATGTGGGTCGAAAACAGCACGAAGTTCACTTGCCATCACACTTTCGGTCGCACTGCGTTTCGGTCACAATTTCGGGCGCGCCTACGGTTACCGGTTTTTTCGCATACCTTTTTAGCTGATCGGGGACGGGAGCCATTAAGGACCCACTTCCTTCACGTCGACTCTTCTTCGCTCCATCCTGGCCCGCCCCGATCCGCGGCCAGAGGCAGCCCAGGAGATGCCAGAATCGAATCGATGAGTCGGATCGGCGATGGCCCCCATCGATAAGTCGGAATCCAGACCGGAATCCGAAGTGGAATCGAATTCTGAATCGGAGGCCATCGAAGTCGAATCGAATCGGGCCCCAGGGGTCGACATGAGCCCTGAGATCCGCGGCCAGAGGAGGCAGCCCCGCCGTCTGCAGCACCGCGGGCGCAAAGTCCTCGTTGGAGGCGGTCGGGGGGTCTGAACTGGATGGGACCCTAAAAAATCAGCCAGGATGGGAGGATCAGGCCGAATCCGCCTGCAGAATCGGTCCCCAGACCCTCCGGGGATCCACCTGCTGCGCTGTTCCAGCCCGGGTCCGCTTCAGACGGTCCCGGGGCCCGAGAACTGCCCCCTCAGTCAGAGACATACGAAGAAATCTTCTCAAGCCCAGAACCCTCCACCTCGCTCGCTCGCCGGAACCAGTGCTGGGCCACCTCTCGGGTGTCGCCAGAAGGGCCCGCTGGCCCAGGGTGCCCCCAGGATTCCCAAAGAGGCCTCCACAGCCTCCAGAGCACTCCCCTCGGGGCCCAGAGGGCCCCAGAGGCTCCAAGACTGAGCGAGAAGCTGGGGGCACCTGGGGCCAGGCTGCCCCGGGGCACCTCCAGCAGCCCCGGGCACCTCAGACCCCCAGACGGCGCCAGAGTCCTCGAGCTCCCGGGCGCCGCCGCCGCGCCGGTCCGCGGCGGCGAAGAGCGCGCGGCCGCCAGCGTGCCCACCGGCCAGGCGGCGGACGGCCGCCTCGAGGTCGGCGCGGGTGACCTCGCCGTCCTCGTGGGAGGAAAGGAAAAGCTGCCTTCCAGCACCGGGGTTCTTGAGCCAGCGGGCGCAAGCGAAACGAAGCTGGTGCAGGCGCCGGTCGGGCCACGGGCGGGACACGCCAGGAACGAATTGAGGCACAAACGGAGGGGGACGCGGGAAAGGCGAAGAGGCAGGATCCGCACAGAACAAGCAGTCCGTCGTGGGCGTGCAACGGAAGTGGCCGCGGATGGACCGAGGAGGCAGGGGTGCAAGGGTACCCTTGGGAAGGTTGCCCATCCTATAGTATGCGGGTTGACCGTATGACCTTTATGCAACCACATGTGATGCAGGTCAGGTTTCTGCAACGCTTGCTTGGGTTCAGAATTCGAAAGATGTCCGCAGGCAAGTGAACACCAGCGGGGGGTGTCCGGCACCCCAGTATCGGTGGGACCCGCAAGGGTAGGGGTCGCACGTGGTCGCAGAAATTTGTCCTTCGTTGGGCACTCGTTCTGGATAGAGCATTGAGATCTCTGGCCTTTCTCCTCCCGCCTCCCTCCTGCTATCTCTCTCTCTCTCTCTATTTCCTCTCGTCCCGCTGCTTCCCTCCAACCTCGCCATGCCTTGGGGGGCTGCGAAGTGTGAAACTGCTGGTACTTTCGAATGCTACCGGGGGGTCCAGCAGTGAGGTCCTACGGGGATCAGCCGAGCAAATCTCCGACGAACTGATGTGTTCAATACTGGCGCGTTTCCTCCGCCGCCATGGTCGCCGTGATGCGTCGATGAGGAACAGATGCTGCTACCGCTGTTCGTCCTGAAGAGCCCTCGTCGCAACGGCTGGATCCGCCTCGGAATCTTGGTCAGAGCGCACCCGGAGAGAGGTCCAAGGAGCAGCGGTATCGGTATCTTGTTGCTCGCCCCATGAAGTTCCAAGCGTCGTTCCTCGATTTCGGACTCGTGCGGGCCGTCATCCGGCCCCCCGGGGCCATCACCTTCGGATCTGGGACCAAAAGCCGGCCCCGGCGAAGGGGGTCGGAACGTCTGAGAGAACGCGCTTCACGGGCGCTTGCCTTGGGAACATTCGGCGGCGCGTTTCGAACCAGGGCGTGGGCCCCCCCCCCCCCCAACACTCGGCGCCGTCGATCAAAGCCAGGGGACTCCCCTCCCCCCCAAACCTCCCCCCTCCCGAACCCCCCTGGCGCCGGCGCCGGCGGCCGCCAGCACCGCCGACGGCGGGGGCGCAGCGACGATGACCAGAGGCAGCCCAAGGGGGGGGGGTTCAAAGCCCCCCCCCTCCCTGGCGCCGAGGGGCCCCCCTTGGCGCCGGCGCCGGCGCTGGCGGCGGCCAGCAGCGCCGGCGCTGGCGCCGGCGCTGGCGCCGGCGACGGCAGGAACGCAGCGACAACAAGTGGCTCGCGTGCCCTGGCTCCTGTACATTTGAGGAGAGAAATAGGAGGAGGGGCATGTGGGGGGATCGAGGACAGAAGGGAGGGACGGGCAGGGCGCCCTGTGCCGAGCCAGTGTGTGTCGACTGGGACCTGTTCGACTGCATCTTGTGGAAAGCGGAGGAGTGGTAGATTGTTCGATGACGTCGCAGCGTGCTCTACGAAGCCTCGGGAAGCCGATTTCGGGCCGGGGACCACGGAGGAAAAACGGAAAACACGAACGAGGGAAGGGGTTAACCTCAATTGAGAGGTCTGGAGCCGGCGGCGGTGGTCGACGACGTCTGGCCCAGCCTGGACGCGACACGGCCTTGCCATCTCGTCGTCCGCGTCTGTCTCTTTCTGCTCCTTCTTTCTCCTCCTCCGTCGTCCTCCGTGGCCGGAGGGGGGGAGGCTGGGTCCAGGGCCAGGGCCAGCGGTGCGAGGGGGGCTGGGGCCAGGACCAGGGGGGGAGGTTGGGTCCAGGGCCAGGACCGGACCAGGGACGACGACGAACGAAATAAGGATCCAAGGCGAGGGGGACTGGGGCCAGGCCCGGGGGGGGGAGGCTGGGTCCAGGACCAGGGCCAGCGGGGCGAGGGGGGCGGGGGCCAGGACCAGGGGGGAGGCTGTGTCCAGGGCCAGGATCGGACCAGGGACGACGAACGAAAATCAGGGACGACGACGACGAAACATAAAGGGTCCAGGGCGAGGGGGACTGGAGCCAGGGCCGGGGGGGGGGAGGCTGGGTCCAGGGGCCAGGGCCAGTGGGGCGAGGGGGGCTGGGCCAGGACCAGGGGGGGGAGGTTGGGCTCCAGGGCCAGGATCGGACCACGGACGACGACGAACGAAAATAAAGGGTCCAGGGCGAGGGGGGCTGGGGCCAGGGCCGGGGGGGAGAGGCTGGGCCAGGACCAGGGCCAGCGGGGCGAGGGGGGCGGGGGCCAGGACCAGGGGGGGGGTCCAGGGCCAGGACCAGACCAGGGACGACGACGAACGAAAATGAAGAGTCCAGGGCGAGGGGGACTGGGGCCAGGGCTGGGGGGTGCGGCTGGGTCCAGGGCCAGGGCCAGCGGGGCGAGGGGGGCTGGGGCCAGGACCAGGGGGGAGGTTGGGTCCAGGGCCAGGAATGGACCAGGGGGACGACGACGACGAACGAAAATAAAGAGGCCCGAGCTCTAGAGCACAGCTGTGCAAGAGATTAACCACCACTACCACCACCACCACCACTACCACCACCACGACCGCCTCAACCCACCCCCACCACCACCACCACCAACCCACCACACCACCACCACCACCACCACCACCACCACCACAGCCACCACCACCACCACAACCACCACCACCACAACTCACCATCACCACCACCACAAAAACCCACCACCACTACCACCACAACCACCACAATCTACCACGCCACCACCACCACCACCACCGCCAAACCCACCACCACTACCAGCAGCACAACCACCACACCACCACCACCACCACCACCACAAACCACACCACACACACCACACCACACCACCACCACCCAGCCACCGCCGCCACAACACCACCCACACCACCACCCAACCCACCGCCACCACCACCACCACAAACCACCACCACACCACCACCAAACCACCACCACCACAATCCACCACCACCACCACCACCACCACACCACCACCACCACACCACACCACCCACACCACCACCACCACAACCACCACACCACCACAACAACAAACCACCACACCACCACCACCACAACCACCACCACCGCCACCACCACCACCGCCACCACCACCACCACAACCCACCCACCACCACCACCACCACCACCACTGTCGTCCTCGTCGACGCTCCCGCCGCCGCCGCCCGCCGCAGCAGGCGCTGGCGCCGGCCCAGAAAAGGAAATCGTCGTCCCCGCCGCCGCCGCCGCCAGCCGAGGAGAGGGAGAGAGGAGAAGTAGGGGAGGGGGGGGGTTTCGAACCCCCCACCCCCCCTCCGTCACGGGAGGGGAGGGGGGGGTTCGAACCAGCCCCCCCCCCATCCAGGGAGGAGGGGTGTTCGGTTCCAACCCCCCCCCCCTCCAAGCGACCACAGAACGCGCTCTTTCGGACCTCTGGGGCCGCGCGTCGAAAAAAACAGGATCGTCGGATGTCTGGGATTTTCACCCTGGCGCGGTTTGCTCAGGACACGTGCCAGGGGATCCGAAGGATCTGGCGGCCCTCGTTCCTGGAGCCCGTGCGGAGCAGCAGGGAATGCTGAGATATTCGAGATCGTGGAACATACGATTATCGTGGCTTCTGGCTACTCTGATCTGGAGGAGCCCAGGGGCACACAAATAGATAATTAGGCACAAATACCAGGAGCCTCCATGTTTGTCCATCTCTGCTGGAGTTTCGTCTTCCCCATACACTTTCCTTATTGTCACATAGGTTCCTGGGAATCGACGTTCATTTGTGTCGGTGTGTTTTTTCCTCCTGATGATCCTTGTCGGCGTCGAGGGCGTCAAAGGCCGCCCTGATAGGAGGAACAAAAAAACTACACACGCATAAACTTTCGGAGGTCCGCGCGGATTTCTTGCATCGGCGCTGGACCCCGTGGCGGCGCCTGAGGCGTCACCTCTGGCGCGCTCCGCGCCCCAGGGAGGGGGGCTCCAACGCCGATCCAAGAAATCCGCGCGGACCTGCGAAAACTTACGATCGGGAGCTTCTGCTCAGCTTGTCGCGGCGGTGGCTCCGCCGAATGGGTGTGCCCTGCGAGCGGACGGCATGGCGCCCCCGCTGCGCGGGGCGGGAGGCCCTGGAAAAGCTCGGGACGCTGATGCCCGGGGGCGGGACTGGGGCACACGTGGCGTGTCGCGCCGAGGCGCCGTGGGCCAACAGCGGCGCTGCGGCACGCCGAGCCGCCAAAACTCCCGACCGCGTGCTCGTGCAGTTGCTCGCCCCTCGGCCTGAGGCTCACCCGGTCCTCGGGCCGCGGGCAGGCCGTGCCCGGAGAGGGCGCTGCCGGGGCCGCCTCCGGTCGCGGCGGGGGAGCCAGGACTCTGCAGACCGGGGCTCTGCCAGATCTGGCGGGAGAGGGCGAAGGGGAGCAGGAGTGGCGAGCATGACCGTACATCCGGCGCCCTCGCGGTCTGGAGTCCGGGGCGCGATCCCACGGATGCGCGAGCGCACGCAGGCGTTCCGCGCGGGGCATCCGCGAAAAAACGCCCCGCATCCGCGGGGTCGCAACCCAGACGCTCAGCCCGCGAGGCCGCGGATACGGAAATGTTTCACGAGTGTGGAGCGCTTCGGCCCACGGCTGCATTTTTTCGAGCGCTCCGGAGCGAAGCAGAGACAGCCACCACTGCTGGGCCGAGGAAACCGCCCCTGGCGCCCCCCCCCAAGGCCGACCCCGAGCCCCCAGCGATGATGACCTGCACGCGGTGCTCGATTTCGAGTGTCGCGCGCAGGCCATCCATCGTCGCTGGCGGGTTTGGGAAAGCCGTGGGGTGGGCGCCCCGGGCGACTTCCTCAGCCCGTCGGCTGTGGTGGTCCCCTCTTCGCCCCTGAAGCGCGCCGACGTCCTGGCTTATCAGAGTCTCTGTTCGTGGGGGTGAGGGGCAATGATAGGGGGGAACTGGCTGGCATAGGGGGGGTGCATCGACCTGGAATCGGCGATATATCGCCGATAGATCGGCGATAGGCCCCCGATAGCAAAACAGCACCTTCCTGGGCGGGGTGGGGCTCTCAGACCCCTGTCGGCGATCCATGGGCGATCAGGGGCCGATGCATCCCCACCTGTGCCCATCCCCCGCTACCGTTGCCCCTGATGGGGGGCCTGGCCCGGGTCCGCCGCCGGTCCGCCGGCGGGGTCTGCCACGCCCATCGCTGGCTGCTTCGCAGCGGGCTCTAATGGGGTGGCGGCAGGCTCCATGGCCCCAGGGCGGGGCGTGGGCCAGCGGCTGCGGGCAACCGGGTGCACACGCAGGCCAAGAGCGGCGGCACGCTTCTGGGGGCAGGTGCGGAACAGACGTCGGCCAACGAGGCAGTGCAACGAGCGCACGCACGCACAGGCACAGCAGAGGGGAGCTGCCTGATTCTGGCGCCCGCAGTACAGCTCAGTGGCAGGTGAAAGATAAAAAGCAGGTAAAAGAGAATAGATCGGAGATGGTAAATCAAGGGAGACATGTGCTAGCGACGAATGAGACGATACGAGAGGCGATAGAAGCAAAGAACAGAGACGGAAACTGACAGTGCAGAGGCACCAGAGAGAAGAGGGGAGAGAGGAGAAGAGATGAGAGGGGATACATGTGCGAAAGAAACAATTAGCAGGCCCCACTGAAGGCGCCACGCTCAGAGGTATGCTCCTGGACTGCTGGCTCGTGTGGCTGCCGTAATGCGTTATGTGTGCTGACGTTGCCGTCTCTGCGGCCTCTCCTATCCTGTCTCCATTCTACTGTCTACAACTGTCCAGGAAGGATCGCGGCATCAAAAAACACTGGGTGGGGTCCCTCGAATTCCTGGTCGCTCCAAATTGCCCAAGCGTTCTCATGGATGGGAGAGGCACCGCGCGGCCAGGAGGGTTCCCAAAGACGGCCCCAGGAGGTCCGGAAGAATCCCACAAGAGCCCAAACAACTACCGAATACCACCGCCCAGGAAGCCACAAGAGGGTCTCAAGGAGGCCAGAGAGGCCAACATCGCCAAGGCGGCCAAGAGGGCCTCAAGACGGCCAACGAACATCGCAAGACAGTTCAAGAGGGCCCCAAGAATCCCCAAGCGGGCTTCAAGAGGCCCTAAAAAGGCCCCCGAGAGATCCCCAAGAAGACCCCAGAAAAATATCAAGAGCGCCATAAGAGGAAGAGGAATAGGAGAATAGGGAAAGGAATAGGAGGAAAAGAGGGAGGAACAGAAGGACGAGACGGAGGAGGATAAGGAAAACGAGGAGGAGGAGCAAAAGGAGACGGCCAAGGAGGAGGAAGAGGAAGTGGATGTGGAAGAGGAAGAAGAATAATCAAGATGGAAGGGAAGGGAGAGGGGAACGGAGAGGAGAGGAGGAGGAGGAGGAGGAGGAGGAGGAGGAGCAAAGGAGGAGGAGGAGGAGGAGGAGGAGGAAAAGAAGGAGGGGGAGCAGCCGGTCGCAACTCCCGGACTCTGCGCGCTCCGCGCGCGCATGTCGCGCAGCGGGGAAGTCCACGAGGTGGCTCGGCCAGTGGGGCCAGCGGCGCGGGGCGCAGCCCTCCAGATATAACGAAAGAAAAACAAACCAAAGAAGAACAGAAAGAAGGTGAAACCGAGAGAAAGTCGTAATGCTATATCTTGCACGCCCTCTGGTTGCGCAGATGTGTTAATTTATTTTCCGGAAGATGGCCAGCCAGATAATCCTTCTTTGTCATTATTGAACATCGACGTCGCGAGAGGGAAGAAACCGAAAGGGAGCACGCACAGGAGAAGGGAGGTGCGAGAAGGAGGGGAGTACTTCCACGAGACACCATCAGAGGCAAGAGAGAGACAAGCGGCGAGAGAGGAGTTCAGAGAAAGCGGCGGGAAACCCACCATGAATGACACAGGGAGAGGGCAGGATGAGATGATACCGAACTGGCGCGAGGACCGAAACTTCAAAAAGAAGGACGATCTGGACAAGACCCGATGGGAAGGCACCGCTAACCAAACCCAACATCCTTGGCAGCATGGCCCAGACCCCGTGGGCGTGACGTTTGGGCAAGCACCGCAACGCCAGCGCCGAGGGCAACTGAGGCCAGGCCCCATGCGTGGGACCTGACGGACTTTCATCCGGACGCTGGGCCGCGCGCGAGAACGCGCGCAAGGCACGCGAGGCGCGATCGCAAACAGCCCCAGCGCGAGGCACCCACGGCGCGCTGGCGCGACGACGGCGCCGAACTTGCCCCATGTCAGCCCCCAGACCGTCGCCCTGTCGTTCGGGGCGCGGCGGCCCCAATGGGGGCCCTGCTCCGCGCTCGCCGCTCACTCGCGCGAGGCGCGCCGGCCATCAGTCAGGCAGTGCTTGGGGACAGCGGCTAGCGAAGCCGAGATCAGCGCGCAGACCCAAGACGCGTAAAGAGAGCTAGCAAGGAATCAACGCCATGAGCCTACGGTCACGGCAACTTAGGGATTCACCGAAACCCCAGCACTCATGAGAAGCGAAGACCAGTACCCTATGAGCGGGCCCAGATGGGCGCCAGGGCAACCCAATCGGAAACTACTGGAAAGCCAGCACTGGGGGCAAATCCGACCAATATTCTGGGCGTGAGGTGGTTTAGCAAATCAAATCTTGCCAAGGAACTGCTAACTCTCCCCATACCCTCTCCCCGGGGGCATGGGCGGGGGGACCCCCCCCCTACTTACGTGTTGTTTTATCAGGCTGGCAGCCAGCCGCAGAACGTGAACGTTGACGCTGCTGGGCGTCGCTTAGACCGTGGTGCTCTTCAGCAGCTCCGCGACGGCTCATGTAGCTCAAAAGACGGTCTCCAAGATGACGCAAGATGGCCCAAGCTGGGCCAGACTGCCTCCAGCATGGCTCCAAGAGGCCCCAAGCAGGCCCCAAAACGGCCCTGAGGCGGTCCGCGGGCCTCCCAAAGATGCCCTCCAAAGGCAAACACATGCGACAAGTGCGCGAACTTTCTCACACTGCTGGCTGCGACCCAGGGTGTCCCAAGCGAGGCCCAACAAGGGCCCCAGAAGGGCCCCAGAAGGGCCCAACAAGGGCCCCAACGATCCCCAAGAGCACCCCAAGGCAGCTCCACGAAATACACAAGAAGCACATTCCGCGCTTTAAAAGGGCATCGTTCATTCAAGACCCCGCTAGTTAGGCCCATGACCTCTAGCATGGCCCCAGCCCGAAGGACCCCACAGGGCTCCAAAAAAGCTCCACGAATACCACCAAAGAACCACAAAAGGGCTCCATTACTGCTCCTCCACTTTCTTCGCACGGCAAAATCGCATGGACAATGGTTCTCATACATAGAAGGAGGTGTACAACACCTGCTGGAGCACCTGATGCTTCCGTGCTGGAAGTATGGGCAACTTTTAATCGAAGCACGGACACCTGGGAATACGCTGCCTGATAGCAGGCAGGACATTATAGAGGATAGCAACGTGCTGATACCGTGTGACGTGGATGGTGCGCACAAGACCATGCAATATAAAGACGTATGATAAGATCCAGCAGCAATTACCCGCCAAAGCACATAGTGCGGGATAAACTGACTGGCGAAACCCACTGTGCCGCAAGGCACTGAGTGGAATGCCCCACAGACCCTACAAGTCCACGATCCTCAATAATGGATAAAAGAAATGTTCCGCTAATGGCCCAGACCCCACACTCACGGAAGCTCCAGGGCTTGTCGTGGGATTCGTTGGCTTCCCGCGTGGTTTTCTCGACGCCCCAAAAGATGGGCATAATCAAGTGTACCTTGAAAAACACAAAGGCAAGCGGACAATTCCGCCCTCGGGGGCCTGGAAGATATCCTGATTCATTTTTAGGAAAGGAGAGTACGCGTGGCGCAACTCACGTGTGGAACTCGCAATTGTCAACTCCACTGCTCGCGCAATCATCGCACCCTCCCACCCGCAACTTGTTTTGCAAAACACACGCGGCGGCGATTGCAATGAGTGTTTGGTGTTGGCAGGTGCATTTCTGCGGCCGCGCTAGCCCGCGCATGCTCGCGCGCGCAGCGGCCAACTAGTTTGGCGCGACCGACGCAGCCGCGGTTGCGCTGGCCTCGGGGCACTTCCCAGCGGCAGCTTCAATGCGAGTCGGCCACTTGGGCGGGCGCGGTATCATGGCAACGTCGGCCTCGGTACACACGACCATGGTAGCAGCGACGCTGGAGACGATGATGACAACGGCGACGGCGCGGCCAGTGACGGCGCCGAGGCTGATCACGCCGACGACGGTGACGGCGTCCTCGCGTCGGTGATGACCGTTTTGGGAAGAGTTCGACATGCGCGCGCGAAAGTCGCGCGAGGGTGGCCCGCATGGCATTATTTGACACATGCGGCGCGAAACGCCCGCTTGGCCGAATTTATGTATAGAGAGAGCGAGGGGAACAAAAAAAAAAAAAAAAAAAATGCCTTGATAATCATCGAGAGCGCGAGCGCAGCTCTTTTTGTGGAAACTGAGATTGCAAGGCCACGTGCTTTACGCTCTGAGGACACTGAATTTTGAAATCCCTGCGAAGCCTGAGGTTTTTGAAGGATTCCGGCATGCGCGCGCGATGACGCGTTCGTGTCCACGTCGGCCCCGTGGACTCCGGCATGCGCGCGCGACGACGCGCGCGTGCGCGCTTCGTCCCACTTGTTGCAAGGGAGTATTGAAAACTTGTGATTTTCGATGAATGACTGCGCGCGCATAATATATGCTGCAAAGGATGGGGGAGAAGTGTTACTGGCCTGACTGGGATGGTTTGATGAGTTCATATTGACGATGGACGATGGGCCATAATCATACGCCCATTGCAATACGACAAGGGGGGTAAATCCAGGGGGTCGATCCTGATACATTGGAAGCCCGACCACTAAAAACCTTACACAAGAAAGCCAACCCTGAGACCCCAGGACGTCCATCGATTTTTGGTGTGGGAACGTCACGCGCTCCTCAGCAAAACCATCGAAACCCAAGAAACCCAAGGCACCCTGGAGGCAAGCAGCGTGTTTCTTGCCATGGGTCTCCATTGTAGTCTTGTAGACAGGAAAATCCCCTGGGATGCGAATCGTGCTGTGCAATCTAAGGCGGCGGCAGGACCACGGAGCCGCCAGACCGACAGGCAGGACCGAGACGACGGGCGGCGACGAAGCGACGACGAGGCGGCAACGGCGACAACGGAGCCGCCAGACCGCCACGCAGGCCCAGCTCCTTTTGACGAACAAGCGAGAAGCCTTAAGTGCAAGCACTGGTTGGGGAACGTCCGGAGAACAAAAACAGTGCGCCTGGAGCACAGGAGCCA